TTTGGGATTTGGGATTTGGGATTTCGGCATTTGGGATTTCGGCATTTGGATTTTGAATTTGGGTGGCAGGTATAGTCACCAGACAACCAGAAGTTAATAAAAAAAGTTTGTGTAATAATTAGCATTTTAAACTTCATAATTTTTTTTATTAACATTTCATGTGATATTTTTTGTTAAAATTAAATGTCTATGCAAATAAAATTGCCAAAAATAATACCCATATCGGACTTAATGGCTATTAAGGATAGATACCAACTATCTTATATGGAAATCGTAGCGAGAAATAATATTACAACTTCAATTAGAAGCATATTCCGTAGTATCTAATGATTTTGACTTTACTTAGATGCGAATAAAAATGACTGAAATTTATAAAAAAAATTAAAAATTCTATATACTGTAGTATATATAAAAAAAATTTTTTTAGCTTTATTATGGCTTATTATGTCAGTTGACTCGAGGGTTATCAATTAAGTTAATCCTAATATTTTTCAGGTTCTTAACTATGTCACTGGATTTTCAGCTTATCATAAATATTTCTAATTTTTTCTCCATTTATAAGTTAAAATTTTTCAAGAGAAAAAAAGTACTAGGAACAATTTTTTTTAGAGTTAATTAGTTGATATTAATTGACCTTGCAATTTACATGAGTAACAGATTTATAATACTTTATATATAAATAATATAAATAGTTTCAATGATTATATCTACTGTAACACAAGTTTAAGCTTATATTAAGACTGGTATGCACATCATCATTGTTGCATGACAAATGGTGAATCCAATGGTTGTTAATACATTCTTTTTTATAGATTTAAAAATTGAAAAAAAAGGAAGGGATAATGATGAAAATATATTACGAGTAGTCATAGTTACATTATACTTTAATCTTTTTAGATAATTTATTGCCACTATTAAATCAATTTCATAAATTATTTAAGAAATTATACGTATTTATTCTAGAGAGTGAATATTAATGTTTCGAAAAACTAATTCAATACTTCTAATCAATATGCAATCAATTGCAAGCATGTATAGATCATAAGTATTTGAATTCATAATTTCTGAAATCAAAGTTAGAATTAATTCAACATCATACAACACTTCTCAATCAATTGTAAATTTATTGAATATTAGATATTATATAATACCTCTAATCAATCACCAATCAATTGTATGCACGTTATATATAAGGGAGTGAGCATTTAATTCATATTTATTGGAATCAATATTTTAAACTAATTTGCATATGGAAAGCTTTCACATATTTTAATATTTTTTAATGATTTGGATACATAAGGAAAGCCCTCAGAAGAGATTGGTGCAGTTCATGTTTTGCCATCCAATTCCAGAATGCATTTGATAAGGGTCAAAGAATTGATAATATACTGTATCTAAAAAACACAAGTCAATGCAAATTTTGGTCAAGAAATTATTGAATTGGTTTAATTTTATAGTTTGATAATGCTAAATATCTTTGTAATACTTTTGGTACAGTTTACAAAGCAAAAATGCTTGAAGGACATATTAGATCTTGAGACTACAAAAAAAAAATTAGGAATTCAATAAATAAAATATTTTATATTATTTAATTTAGTCATTTTAAATATGTTTTATTTATATTGTATTGTTAAATATTTATTCTATGAGCCAACTCAAATTTCGAGGTAAATTGGTAGTTACAATATATGGCATCACTAAAAATCCAGCAATAATGCGAAACGTAAGAGTGGTCAGATCACATGTGAAACCAACCTTTTCTATTGGTTAAGATCGTTAAGATCGAAATAAAACAAGGTTTTGGTTTTATTTTTACTTTTTTTCACCATTGCTTTTTCCTTTAAAAATCATTTTTTTATCAATATCAAGCATTAAAGTTTTTGATTTTTAAAGTCTTAATTCATGATCCATGTAAGAACCGGCCAATTTCGTTATATTTATTAGCAAAAAACGGAATCCAAAAAACATAGTAAATTTAACAAATAAATTTCTGTTTCTTCTAATATAAAATTATCTGTAAATTAAAGAAAAATTTTTGACTCTAAAAGTAGCCAAATAACATATATTATTGATCATATTATAAATTTTTATTATTTATTTTAAAAAATCATACTTTAGTTTAAAGGAAGTTGGATTCCAAAACATAGTAAATTTTCCCATTTTCTATTATTAAATTTGACCAGTTGTTACACATATCACGAATTAAATATTATTTATTTAAAAATTTTGATCTTAAAATTTTCAAATACATCTAAAATCTACACAAATATTTATTTTTTGTTGATTATTATGCTAACACTTTTAATATCTAAATTAAGATACCTTTTGTATAAACTTTGCGATTAGAAACTAAATTAAATAAGTCGTATTTAATTCTTTGAATTAATAAAAATTTTAATATTCAGTAGAGATCAATATGTAGAGGTGGTTAATCATAGTGATGGTGAATAGATTTAAATAATGATAAAAATAATTTAATTATTCCAGCTATTGTTATTTTTAATTTAAATTGTGGGTCGAATTATAATAATAAAATATTTACCATGCCCCACTTAAATTCAATAATAGGCCTAAAATTATCTAAACAGTTATTATTATTTGTTGCTTTATTATTGCAATCATCATTTGATAAAGAAGAAGATTATTTATCATAATTCACACTTTCTTGATTTTTAATAAATAATAAATATAATAAAATAAAAAAATAAAATAAAAATAAAATCAAATCTTAAAATATTACCTAAATCTATCTTTATTTCTTATTCATCTTTCAATAAATGGATTGATTAACTCATCTGAAATTTCAAGTGAGTTTCATCATTTCTTTGATGTCATTAATCTTATTCACCTAAGTTACATTTCTTGCATCATCTCATCTTCCTGTCCCGTTCTTGCTGATATTATTGTTTTTTTCATTGCCATAATTATAATTATAATTATTACAATCATTAATGGTAATTTTGGCAATGTTATTAAATCCGCCTTATTGTATATAAGGATTAATATGTGTCTAAAAATGACACGCAAATTTAATAAATCTTTAATAACATGTAATAATAATTTATTAAATCTCGATCATCATTATTACATAACTCATAATAATAATTTATATAAACCGAGCGATTATTTATGATAATGATGATGAAATTATAGTTACAACAGTCAAAGAACCGTTATTATCATTACTATCATATTATTATTGTCATAATTAGTATTTATATCATTGGAAGTGTTAATAATAAAATCAGTATTTCGATTGATAAATATATCTAATGATGGTCTTTTCAGTATTTTAATGTTATTAATTATATTAGTATTTTGTTTGTTTTCTATTATATTATTATTATTAATGTTTGTATTTTTATGATTGTTCATCATAATATAATATTTTTTAAAATTATGTTCCTTAAATTAGGGTTTTGTCCCCTCCTTGTTCATTATTTTTTTCAATATGTTTTTCCACTCCATTTAATCTTGCCAATGTTTTTTATTTTCTTCTAACAGAGTTTTAACTGTTTCATAGATATAATTTATTGTTTTCTCCATTTCTTTCCTCTCTTTTTTATCATTGGTTGTTTGTGCCTTTGATTTTTCTTTTTCATTCATTTCTTCATTTTCATCATCACTGATTTCCATTTCTCCTGCTTCTTCATCAT